GGAATGATGGGTTATTGGGTGGCATTGGACAAAGACACGGTTACATGTTGTTGATTGTACTATACCGGCTGCCGACGGCAACATCTAGAGTCGTAGTTGTTCATGGGTCCTCTCAGTTATGAATAATTGAGAAATGGAAGCGTCCGAAGTTGATCGCTCACCGTTTGCTTCTTTCGAATCTAAAACAATCGTAGCTTACTAACTGTGGCTCGGGTAACCGACTGGATAAGCTCGTAGACAACACGGTCTTCCGTTTTGTGACAAAATGTATATCCACTCTTCGAAAAATAAATATAAAAACTATTTTCCTCATTGTGGTCGATTCCACCAATCATCAAAAGGGCTAATTCCAATTTTGTGAGATAGATACAGCACTGATACACTTTCTGTGTAACGCCAGTTTCCTCGAAATCTCATCGTCTCTCGACGAACCCTTAGTCCAGGCTATCCAAGGGGAAGACGAACAGCATGTTTGAGTACCCATTGAACATCGAATACATTACATTAGTCTGTTCAGTGTTGCCACATTCCGGCTAAAAATATTCGTACTACCGTTGTCAAAAACAAACCAGTCAGGCTATTGTACCTACGCCACAAATTCCAATGTTGGTGGGCTCCAGAGGTAGTGGCAATCATGAGAAGTGTCCAAGAATAAATTTGACATGCAGTTAAAATCTGCATGGCAAATTACAAGGACATTACGAAACACAGTAGAGTTCAAATGCTATCATAGATAGGAAAATTCCCAAACAGAAAATTGGTTCACTCCACTTGTATCACTCCGTCTATACATTTCTAATTTAGCATCCATGTTTACATTAGGCTGAAAAAGCGTTCAACTGCCCTGACACTCGATGAAAGCATGAGGGCTGGGATAATACCAGGTTTCTCAAGCCTAGACAGGGGAATTCCAGAGGCAGAGGTAGAGTTTGAATCACGGACATTCTGATCAATAAATTCGCGCTCTAACCACTTGAATAATCTCGCCCTAAGCTAACTTGCTGACTAAGCTAACTCGGAGCACAATCAGCTATGAATAAAAAACGAGCAGAAGTGCATCGATCCGATGTTTCAGCCCATTTATCCACCTATATCTGAAAAATAAATAAACAACGGAGAGTGCAAACCGCCAAGAAAAATTTCCTAAACGACAGACTCAGCTCGGTCCCAGGTTAGTCTCCCGTGAAAACCAAATCGGTATGCAGACGAGTGTATCAGTCAAACCTATATGCCAGGATCATACTATAAACAATTAAATGAAAGACACTGGAAGTCCGAAAGATGATGTAACCAAAGCAAGTGAGCGCGCCAAGTCCAGCCGAGAATTATGCAAGAGTGGTGACAAAATAACAAGAATTAAGGGGTTAAGACAGTTAGCCGCTGAACGCAATAAAACGCAGTGCAACAGCTACTTCCTGGGCTCGTTTTCGATCCTGTTCTTCTCAGTTCCAGCACGTTTTGCTGCGACCTCGCCCAGTGTGGCATCAATCGACCTCTTCATATCGAGTAGCTCCTCCTAAAAAGGGGAATATTGGGGGATGATGCAAAACAAGAGACAATGCTTGGGGGAAGACGATAGCGAATCGAGCCAGTTAGACATTTCTAAAACAGGACCTATGTCAAATATACAGCGCCATGAACTAGTGCAGTGCGACTGTTGGATTCGACTGAATTCGTAGGACCGTCTATCAGATTAACTCAAGACCATCCACTAGTAAACAGAACCAAACCGCAACACTACTGCAGTTTATGCGCCTTATGAGCAAGCATTTCACAGGATGTCAGTATGCGTATAAGTGGTCCACCAGCACGACAGATGTGTGTACAGAAGTCCTTGTTCAGAAAGTGAGAATAAAGGCGAACAGAATGAAGAGCGAAGTTCTCAAATTTTCTGAACGACATGATACACTGATGATGCAGGCATAAGCGCTTTAGACCCACGTGGCACCGACCGTAGCAATATAAAACGCATTGACGAAACATAAAAACGAAAGTGAATGGTGGATATTGGGGTGTGGTTATGCGCTAACGCAAGGCGTATCGTGAATATCTGATTGCATGTAAAGTGTTATCGCGCCCAAAATAAGATGAATCAGCCAAAGACATTTAAAAAAAAANTCGACAGCATAACATCAGTGTTCAAAACTAACGCTTCGCTGCCGTGTATTAGGGGAAAATATCCGCGCCCCGCCCGGTCCAAGTGCGAAGCAATTACCTTACTGTCACGGCTGCGATCAAGTCGAACAAACAAACAAGTAGAGGGCGGTCTTGTGGATGACTCTTGGGGTTAGATACAAAGGGTAGATCAGCGCGAACATGCTACCCTTTTCTCAGTATGTCTCACAGTTCCACTATCAGTAATTTTCCTCACAAGTTCCCTCGTTTGTCTCATTAAGAAGTCGATCGACCGTAAAATCAGGCGAGTAAATTGGGGGCACCTCACGAGTGCACGGTCAGCAGAATCACCGTCCAAGAAGAACCCACTCTGGAAAGTCCCATCGTAATCCTGAGGTCAAAAGTTGAAACAGGACCTATGTCAAATATACAGCGCCATGAACTAGTGCAGAGCGACTGTTGGATTCGACTGAATTCGTAGAACCGTCTATCAGATTAACTGAAGACCATCCACTAGTAAACAGAACCAAACCGCAAGACTATTGCCGTTTATGCGCCTTATGAGCAAGCATTTCACAGGATGTCAGTGTGCGTATAAGCGGTCCACCAGCACGACAGATGTGTGTACAGAAGTCCTTGTTCAGAAAGTGAGAATAAAGGCGAACAGAATGAAGAGCGAAGTTCTCAAATTTCTTGAACGACATGTTACACTGATGATGCAGGCATAAGCGCTTTAGACACATGTGGCATCGACCGTAGCAATATAAAACGCATTGACGAAACATAAAAACGAAAGTGAATGGTGGATACTGGGGTGTGGTTATGCGCTAACGCTAAGCGTATCGTGAACATCTGATTGCATGTAAAATGTTATTGCGCCCAAAATAAGATGAATCAGCCAAAGACATTAAAAAACTATGGAAAAAGTGATGCTATACCTTCCACCCGAGCAACTCGGACAGACGCTGAACGCCATCGTCAGCATCTCCTCGGAAAAAGACATCCGTTCTATTTTCCGGATCGTCCCAAGGAACGCAACCCTTTATGGGAGTTGAAAAAGAAATCAAACAAGCAGGGGAAAGCAAGACATTAAACAGCATATCTCGTGGACGAAGCGTAAATGTACTTTACAAAAACTGACCAGCCATACTGTCCCACAACCACATTAGCTGACAGTTTAAACCCTGCATCACCAAGTAGACCTGTCATGATCAAAACCCATGAAAAAGTGTAACCATGTCGTCCAAACGGGTGAGCCGACATGGTGGATGAATACCAGTGGTTGAGAGGAAAAGAAATAAAACATTTTTGGCCAGGTAGCGTATCAGGCCACCAAGCTTGGCAAACTCTTCCTCACCAAAAGGGGAAATATCACCACAGTGTATTGATCATGATTCCTCAAATAATGACGAAAAACTTGCACGCCAACCTCCGATCTACGTGAACAGATCAACACTCTGGCTACCGACGAAAGGAAGAAGCTTCTCGCTGCGGAGTTGCTCATTAGAGAAACACCAACTGAACAGTTACAGACTATCGGACAGTGGAGCAGAAATCTCATATGCATCTTATTTACAAAACTAAGTGCCCATCTCCTTGAACGAGTCTTCCTGAACTTTCCTGAATATCCATCGACTGTTACCCGAATGCAAGCAAATGCCACAAAGCGACTCCACAAATTCCGTAAGAGATCTCACTTTTCAAGAGCCGCGAAGCGGATTCGCAAGGAAACACTACTTGCATGCCTCATCAGTAGTATCCACCGTTACACCGATAGTTCAAAACATTACCAACGAAATAACACTTGGAGGGATATGAAAATACACCTCAAAGTCAGACATAAATTAATCGTCCGAATTACTTCGGAAATGGTATCTCTTGGCAACTCCGAAGTATTTATTTGATAAACGGTACACCTGTACTGGAAACTGTGTTGGAACTGAAGAAGCTGATCATTCAGAATGAACAAATTTATTCAACAGTGTCCAAAATGAATCACGTCCAGCTGCACTCCACACGAATATACATCGATTTTACGCAAACGAAAGCACCACATCCGCTGCAAACCGCTAGTGCAGAAGTCACGCATGTAAACCGCTTAACTAACTCAGCACAGATGATAAAACTGAACATTACGTTGTCACACGTATATCGACTTACCAAACCCATTTCGGGAACTTCACGATTAATGTAGAGTCGAGGCACACCGGCACCAACTTTATCCACCAACATACAAAATGGCATCACCGTGAGTGAAGTACCAATGATGATCAAAAGATCACAAACGGAGAAATCCTGGACAGATGCAGGCGGAAAGAAAAGCGCTATTTATCCGGAAAACGAGCTTGTTGGCTAAAAGTACTAAAATCCTTGAGACTGAGGTCTAACGGAAATTCAAAAATCTGAGCACATGAAATGCAGCTTCACATCATTGGAAGATAATCGTTCAGTTGTGAAACACTTTCGGTGCCTAGGTGTCATTCCAACCATTGGGAGCAAGAGGGCTACGATACTGTCAGATCAGCCAAGCCTGATCAGAAGTCGAGGGACAGATGTCGGGTTAGAACCGCGGGCTTTCCGGTCAGTAAATTCGCACTCTAACAGCTGAGCGAAAATGAACAAAAATCTTTCGTAAACGCCGAAACAGAACGTGTCGAATAGCGGGTAACTACTGAGAAACGTGGTTTTCATCATTCTCATACTGTCGGTAAGTGGGTGCCACTTAGGCTTTTGTTATGACACTGTGGATCTTTATTATCAGAAGCTGTTTGGGAAGGATTATTCTACAAAATAGAAGGAACGAACAGATAAGGGAAGTAAAATGACGGACGAGAGAGCAAGACGACTAAAGAGAACTTGTCGTTGAAACCTTAAATGGCAAAAATCTGCCGCAAAATGTAGACTACCTTTACAAAGTATAATCCCGTTGATCTAGGATTTCATCAGATTCGTCAATTGTGTTTGTTGGTTACCATCTTGTCAACGTTTGTCTTCAACCGCTTTAGCAGAGTTTGGTTGCCATCTCGTCAACGTTCACCTTCAACGATCTTTGCAGTTCGGTTAGTACCTCATCAATGTTTACCTTCAACCACTCACATAATTTGTTTAACACATGCACACCCACTGTTTCACTCCTGCTTTGATTATGTCATGAACATTCGCTCCACGACTAACCGAGATTACTGGAATCTTACCCTAAGACAAACAATGCAAGCACATCGTCACTCACAACGTCTGAGCTCGATATCGTTCTGCATTAAACGACAAGATTTCAACACGCTCGGTCAAGACCCGCGTTCAATTCAACTGCGTCCTACAAACCTCCGCTGTATCTACCACAACTTATCAAACGAAGAACTCGATAAGTCTCTTTCATTTTGTGTGTTATGCAATTGTACTAAAGTATCTCTGGTAGCAACTATACATAACCGTTTATTGTTAGTGTTATTCACCTTCTGACATTACTTCGAGTTCACCTTCCAAAAATGAAATAACCTATAGGCAACGTTGCACAATACATCCACACCCTTGCTCGTCGTAGTGTGTCAGGACAACGGAAACTAACGGTCCAAAGACAGTGTACGGTTTTTCACCTTTGAAAATCATGTGTATGGATAGTGTGGGTATCCGAAACTTTCACAAATACACGCTACTATTAGTAGATGAGTAACTGTTCATAAAGAAAAATATCTACCAATCCATAAGATCCTCATAGCTGAGAATTTTCAGTTTAAGAGGCAATCACAACCGGATCATGTGTGACAAAATAATCAGTTGTCGGTGTGTGGTTGAGATTTAGGTGGGCTAAAAGTGAGGAAAACAGTTTATGCCAAATACCGCCGCTCAGTATTCGCAAGATGGTTACCAATGCATAGTGAGGAATGTCTATGTCTAATGAATTGCTCTGTCAATTATCCGTAAGGGTGGTGTGCTTAGGTGAGCGAATCTTCAAGGTCATCTATCACCAACGGCTGTTAAAACGGTGAGTAATGTAATAAGACATCGCAATTGTGGTAAAAGTGAGTGGCTTACGATGGACGAAAGTTGCAGGTAGTTCTGCAGCTGAAATAATTCGGTAGGCGTTGTAAAACTTACATAGTGCTTGTGCCACTCCTGTAAATAATTTCTGCTGTTTACATCTGCTTGACTCAAACACACATAGAAGTACGTGTTCTGGGTCCTCGATAAGTGCTATTCCAAATTATCATCGCCGTAGACTCTCATTATTTTCGGACAAGCTTTGCGAGGTTGGAAGAAAGCAAGACTTGCAGATGTTGATGACCTATGCCCGTAGGTCAAGTGTGGTGGTAAACTGCAGCAGAGTTTTCCATTATAAATAACAAAACATTCCAGGATGATCATGTCGTTAATAACCCCGGGCAGCTGAACGAAACTAGCTGACGAACGTGTGGTTAGGGGTCCAAATAGCCTGATCAACTAGCATGGTGGGACCTACGT